AAAAAATTAACAAGTGGTAAAATGAGAGAGAGTGTGATTTATATAAATGGGAAGATCAGCAAAATATAAGACAGTTACGTTTTGATACAAATCACTTTGGTAAGTCCCAACCGTTCATAGCAATTTTCATTAAACAATACTGACTAATTGTGATTAGATGAAACTATAGTTATATTAATTAATTCACTAGTAAATGTTTACGTAGTTACTTTTTTTTTTTCAATATTATTACACCTACTCACTTTGATGTAGGGGTCAATATTTGCCTAACTAAAATATTCCCCTAAACCATGGTTAAAACTCAGTTTTATTACACCTATTCACATATTGATCTAGGTGTGACGATACACCACATCATCACACCACATAATTGCCACATAAATGCCTATGACATAAAGTGACTCATGTGGAGAGCTTACATAGGAGAAATAATTGTCCTTGTGGATGATTCTAGAGAAATATTTAACTTTTTTGATGGAAAATTATAGAATTGCATAGACGATCTCTAGAATATTTTAAGTATGTAGAGAGTAAATGATTCTAATGTAAATATATGGGGACTTATATAGAAATTATTATTAACACTTCAGCCCCTAGATGAGTAATATAAATAGAGGGGCACCCATTTCTAAAATCATCAAGCAAAAATCAATTAAGAATCAATCAAAGTTCTCTACATAATTCTTCCTAAAAATCTTTGTGCGTGCTCTCTTCCATTATCTAGCGATTCCTACAGTTTAAGCCTGACTGGTCATAACAAGATCGTAAGCAAGTGGTGCAAGAACGTGAGCAAGTTGTCAAGTGTCACATGTATGCTTAGTAGAAGACTAAGGACGTGACAACATGGTATCAGAGTGAGGTCCTAACTAAGAGAATGACAAACGATGGAAAAATCAATGCTACTAACACCGAAGCCAACGTCACTCAGGATGCCACCGACAAGAAGGGCTATGGCAAAAAGAAGAATGTCACCGACAAAAATCAAGAGATGACGCTCGAGGTTGAGCCAAATGAAGGGATTACATCCCAAGAACCTTCAACCACTGAGGCAAACGAGGATGATGTAGAGGTCCTGCCCAACGAAGGTTAATGCAGGAATGGAGGTAGTCGAAATACTTTGCCAATGGTTGGGGAAAGTAAAAGGCACTCTAAATGTTCTAAACGTACTTTTGAAGTGATCGAAAGCATCCAGAGTGACTTAGATGGGCATACGCTGACTGAGATAGAGACGAGGCAGACCATTGCTACATTAGAGTGCAGGCTCATAGAGGCATTGAACACTATCGATGCCAAAAAGGCAAAAATAGAGGCACTCGAAGTGCAGGTAAACATTGGCATGATTGAGTCCGCCAGGAATGTTAATGTGATGAGGGAGGCTAAGATCGAGGCTCCCAAGTCACTAATGTTCAAAGGTGTTCATGATGCATATGAAGTATAGAACTTTTTTTGGCACTTGGAATATTATTTCTGACATGAAAATGTAAGGGATGATGATGCCAAGATCAACACTGCAATATTGAATTTGTCAGAGACTATCATGCTATGGTGGAGACGTAAATTGGCTGATGCTGAAAAAGGGTTGTGCATTATTGGCACATGGGATCAGTTCAAGGCCGAGTTAAAGTAACAGTTCTTCCCAAATAATATCTTGTACGAGGCAAGATGTAAACTTCGAGAGTTGAAGTAGTCAGGAAGCATATGTGATTATATTAAGGAGTTCACTATCCTTATTCTTCAAATTTCCAATCTCACCAACGGTGACTTGTTGTTCACTCTATGGATGGGTTTCTGAATTGGGCTAAGAAAGAATTGCAACGCCGACGATTCTCTAATGTAGACCAAGTTATAGTGAAACCCGAGTTTTTGATGAATTTCAGGAATGAGAAGTATGACAAAGACCGAGGTAATAAGTCAAAGAATAGTATTGTCAAGGGTGAAGGAGACTGTGGTGAAAGCAAGGAAGTACATCAACAACAATACAAGACTCAAGATACCCACAAGGTCGATAATAAGAAGTCAGTTGATCGTCAATACTACACGGAAGTTCGAACGAAAGGATGCTACATATGTAGGGGGCCACAAATAGTTTCAACAGTTGTCCCAACTTAAAGAGTCTTATCGCTACGGTCATAGGCGAACCCACCCTTGGCCAAGGGGTGTCAAGTGGCACCCTTTCGCCGGAAAATTACATTGTATATAAAGGTCAAATTTTGATTTAATAAATATATATAAAAGTATTGACACCTCTTGACACATGTGAAAGGTTTAGTCTAGTGGTTAAGGGGTTGCAAACCTTCCTTAGGGTTGTGTGATAAAGCTCTATCGGCCTCATAAATATTTTTTATAATTTCTTACTACAACCATCGACACCCCTTTCTAAGAATTCTGGATCCGCACCAGCTATTGTGCGTGAACAAAATGAGCAAGTGCAAGGAGAGAGTTAGGTCACAGCTCAATTAGGAGTGATTGTACTATATGGAGCCATCACAAAGTCCGCTAGCCAAGTTAATGATAATAAATTTTAGTACGTGGACCTTATCATCAACAATAGCTTGCTCGTGCATTGTTTGACAGTGAAGCAACTCATAATTTTATGTCCGAGGCTACAAACTAGAGTTGAAGCATACTTCAACTAACTCTAGTGTTAAGATCGTGAATGCTAATCCTCAAAATGCTTATGGTATTACTAGTGGCGTTGATGTCAAATTGGGCTACTGGAAAGGTATAACAAACTCTATCATTCCAAAGATATCTTTGATATTATTCTAGGGAAAGAGTTCTTCACACAATGTCATTCCTTGATCGATCCCTACCTCAATTTTCTCTGGGTCATAGAACGAGAAGGGGCTTGCATGTTGCCTACAATAACTAGATATACCACACGAACAAAATCAAGCACAACTTTCAACTTGTGAAGAGGCTCAAAGAGGAGGGGTTGATGTTCTTAGAAACCACTACAAGTTTTGAATGAGACAAACAAAAGGTTATTGTTGTGTTCCACGTCCATTGGAAAAGAGAAATTGTCGAATGAAGCTGTACGAGAACAATATGAGAACTTGTGGCTATTCAAAGATAAGATTTAATAGTTTATGCAGCAGTAATGCACTATGGTCGTCACAGCATCAGGTAGGGGAGAGTGCGACAACCTACCACATCATCACACCACATAAGTGTCACGTAAAATTCTTAGAGTTTTAAACTGACTTGGCATAACAAGATCATGAACAAGTTGTCAAGTGCCATACGTTTGCTTAGTAGAGGACTAAGGACATACATATGGGTCAATATTTGCCTTACTATAATCCCCTAAATCATGGTTAAAACTCAGTTGTTCTTTGTTTTATCTTGGCCTAACCCATCAGTGACCCCCTAAAGTTGGTACAAACTTTCACTTAGACACTTCAACTAAGCTTTGTTCATTTTAGACACCTCATGTCGCGTCTCGTTGTGTCATTTTGACACTTTTCGCTTAGTAAGCATGGTACGTGTGCTACACGAATTTTAAGTGCGTCAGAGACTTTTTTTTGTAAATATTCTAACTTTTTTTGTAAAATTTTTCTTCTCCTTCTTCTTCCTTGCTTTCTCCCTTCCATCTTCTCCACCTTCTACCATCCTCCATCACCACACAACTTAAAAAAAAAAAATTATACAATACTTTACTGGGTTACACTCTTTGATTCTTCCATCTTCTTTTGAAAATCGAATTTGCATCTTGATTCATATTCAAAAACAAAATCGATTTCAAGGGAACAAAAAAGAAATAAACTTCTTTCAAATGGATAAATTGATTTATATTCTTACCTTCTCCATTGAAATTACGAAATTAAATTGATTTCAAGGGATAAAAAAGAAGAAAAAGAACAACCTCCAATGAAAAAAAAAGAAATTTATTTTACGTATCCTTCATTATAAATCCCAATCGTAGTAGCACAAGAAATCAACTTCTTTTAAATGTCATACAAAAACTTTTCGATTTGATATGATTTCTCTTATTCTCCCAACGTATTTTACTTTGTGAACTAACCTATGTTCTTGCCTTTTTGATGGAGAAGAACAGATGAAAAGGGGATGGAGGCACAAGAAGAAGAAGAAGAAGAAAAGAGGTGGGGGCATGGGTTTGGGATCTGGAAGAAAAAAAACAAAAGTAAAATTAAGTTTTTAAAAAATAAAATAAAATTTCCACGTGTCACATAACAATTCGTTTATTTTTCCACATAAGAGGCGTCTGGATGTAAGAACTTAAAAGGTGGTTTTGAAAATATAAAGTGTCAAAATGACACAATGAGATTTGACATGAGGTGCTCAAAATGAACAAAGCCTAGTTAGGGTGTCCAAGTGAAAATTGATGCCAATTTTAAGGGGCGATTGATGGGTTATGCCTTTTATCTTTACCGACTGACAGCAGTAATGTAGACGAAATTTTTCAGCCAACATCCTATCCTACACTTGCTTCCCTCACAAGATATGTATTTTATTCTATTGGCATAATAATCTCATGGTTCCTGGTTCAAGTCTTCAAAATTATTTTCATGGCAAGAAACACTTCCAGAGTCAGAAGGAAATCCCAGCAATAATTCCATTAGTACTGATCTAGAAAGCTAACTAAATTTTAATCATGGTCCTTAGATCTTCGTGTAATAAAAAATACTACTAAACGGGAGGGGAGTTGTAAAGCAAATGGTTCATTATACCACCATTTCTTCAAATTATAATGCAATTTTCATCACCTGAAAAACTTGTAGTCCCTGATATCACAATGATTCCTTATAAACCGCACGGATAGGTTGAAATTCAGATACAACACACATTGTTTCAATTATTGAAAATTTTAGTTTTGCATAATAATATCAAAATTAAACCAATTGTACCATCTTTCATCAGGCGCCTCCCTTTTGGAGGGAAAAAGAAAAGACTTTCCTTCACCAGATTGGTGCGACCGGAAACCTACACATACCACAAAATCCAATAAAAATTAAAAGCTCTACACAACCACACAATAATGGCCCAAACGGTTCTTTCTTTCTTTTCTGCAGTGGAATGCAACATTACAGTGGAAATTCCAAACATGCATATGTTCTCAACAACTCTAAAGACACAAAACCAAAAGGATTCATCATCACACTATTTGCCACAAAGCTCACCTTAAAACTCAACTTCGGGATTAATAAGATTTGTAAAGGCAATTAACCATACATGGGATAAGAAGCTACTGCTTTTAATGATATGTCCCACCATCCAGAGGTATGTATGTCTACGGAAAAACAAAACAGAGTCTCAGAAGTAGGGGCTGTAACGCATCGGCGCCCTAGCCCTTGGAATCTTTCTGCAGCATAAATTAATGAAGTCATGTCACAAATTTAATTATATACAGAAAGTGAGGGTAGCAAACACAAAATTGTTTATAACTAATGATACTTTCATAAATGGAATTAGAACAAATAGAGTTACCCATATCCAAAAGGAGGGAAAAAATAAGGAGCAGGCATGAATGGTGTCCGGCCTCGAAATCCCATATACGGGTTAGGACGCCTAGCACGGTATGGCTTCATACCAGGAACATTAGTCCTCTTAGCTGATACCTACACAACATTCGCAATCACAGATGACAAAGGGTATGAAGACAGAAATGAAAGGTTTTATGTTCAAATGTATCGACCATATAAATAAAGTCGATTTAGGGACGAATTGGTTGACCTTAAGTTGGCGGCCATGAAGTTCAGATTCATTCAGAAGAAGAGCTTCTTGGACAGCTTCCGGTTCAACAAACTCGATGTAAGCATATCCTTTAGGTTGCCCAAACTTGTTAGTTCGGATTGTAACTCTATTTACCGTCCCACATGCCTGAAAATGCTGCTGCACTTCCTCTGGAGTGCATGAATAATCCACCTATAAAACAAGTTTAGCATCCCAAACCATTTGACCCAAATAAACACACAAGAGATGGTCTCAGACTGGACCCAAAGGTCAAGATAACAGTGAAAAAACTGAATGGAACAACCACCTGGATGACATGCTTAATAAATAAAACCAACGAAAATAGCAACAACACTATCATTCATTTAACGAAACAACTACAGACAGAATAGTTGTACATAGTTTACTTTTTACAGCATTAATATGAATCTTTATCCACAATAGCTACCTAAAAAGCAACTATGACTGGATATTCCTTCCCTGTACTTGCTACAAAAAGTAGTTCCAATATAATTACATGTGCATCCCTGACCAGAACTTGTGGGGCAAATTTGATAGTTTGCACAACTTATGGGTTTTTATGTTTATGAGCAAAAAATGCAACTTAAAAATCGAAATTGCATGTCCAAACAGAACATCAACTTCATATCATATGATTTCATATCATGATTTCATCTCACATGGCCGAACGGGCCCTTAAACTATTACATATGAGTAAGATAAAAACTCCAAGCGAGGGACATGAAGATCGATGAAGTTGGATGAAGACTGGGGATACCAAGGTTTGTATCACTGTATAATCATAAAAGTTGGTAATTTCTTCCCATCAGACTAAATTTGACTTAAGCAGTGCCTATTTAGTGGGAGGATAAGACTACCCAGTAAAGTAGTTGAAGTCTGTACAAAGTACAAACTGATCCACACATCACTGCTATTAAATAATGACTTTCTCCCAATACTATTAATCAGGAGCATCACAATATTGAAAACCATCCAGCATCCCCTAGTTTTGGCTATTGGTGGGGTTGATATCTTATTCATTATTTGTCTTGGAGGCATGTTTTAAGATTCTGATCACATCCAGTTATACTCACCCAAACATACGAGGCTCCCTGGTATATTGGTCAAGATTCACCACCAATAACTTAATCTACAAGTAAACTATGTCTTTTAAGGTAAACTCATTCGATTTAGTACTATATCAATTCACATAATTTCTTGAATGATTGAGAAGAAGAAAAAGTTATCACACAATCGCTTGAAAAAATCTTTTTTGGTTCAACTAGTAGTAATTTCTATTAGGTTCCACATCTTCTCTTTCCATACTGTCCCGTCCTTATAACCAATATAATATCATAATACAAGCTCTAATTCATCTTTAGTATATGTGAAGGCAAAATAAAATTAATCTAATGCTGATTCAGATTTAGAAAAAGCATAAATTGGAACAAGTAGATATATGGGAAATGGGATAAGAGAGCGAGAGCAGAATTAAAAAAAATAACTACTCATTCAAAAACGGAAGAAAAAGAACTAAGCATTACACCAAAATCATTTCCATCTCACTTAGTTGTAATTAGTACTTTTTGTACGGTATTTAGTTGTCATTATATATTGGAAATACCTAATAATCAACAATTTTTCCATTTAAAAGAAATAGAAACTACTTTTTTTTACCTAAATCCTTACGTTGCTTATAGTAGAACAAAAAATTGGATATGTTTTCTGCTATGTATGCTTCTGGTAAATGTAGTATGTCATATTCATCTGGTTATTGTAAATGAGGTTGATATACAAAACATTTAACACATTTTTTTCTTTCTAACGCATTTTGTACATGTGTTTCTTTTTCTCCCTTACCTATTTAAGAAAGTAAGTTTCTTTCTCTTTTTTGAAATAAAATTGTGACTTGTTTATAATGGAAGTCAAAATAATCCAATCCTGATCAACTTAAAAGATGTCAGTTAACACCGTAATTAACAAATATAAAAACAAAAAAGATGATTTGTAAAAACATGTTAGAAACTGTTACGAGATGGCTACGGTACTATGTTGAAGTGTGGGACTATCTCATCTAAATCCCACACTTCAACATGGTTTCAGAGCATGCGGAGGTCATGGGTTTGGCTCTCACTGTCACCTATTATCGAAAAGAATTACCACGTATTTAGTCCATCAAACAGAACCAGATTTGCATGAGAAGAGGCAAGTAGAAGTCATAATTAAGTAATAAAATGCTCTCTCAAACAATTTACACTTTTAGATGAGATTGTCACACATTTCAACATTCTTCTTCTTTCATCTTTTCTTAGGACCGTCCTTCTAATAAGAAGATAGTTATCCAAACACAAGAGCTGACTGCAACCTTTACAAACTAAACCAAAGTACACCTATAGCAAAGCTACTTTCCGACACATTCACCAACTTCTCTCCTTGTAGCCTTCACATGTCAATTCATCCAATTCCTTATCTCCAAAGTAGTTTAATATTTGTTAAGGTAGATTGTGATACCAATAGAAACAAGTTAATGCCCCAAGGTTTTGGTCTAGGGGTAAGAGTGTAGCTTGTAATGTTGGGCTAGGGTACATCACGAGCTTGAATCAGTCGCACATAATAGCCTTGAATTTAAGCAAAGAAGGATAAAGGGGAACAGGTCCATTATCCACAAAGTTTTGAACCATTTATCATTGGCTCTCGGGGATTTCTCCATTACAAAAATATGCTATCACACTCCTTTTCTCTTGTTTCTATTCACATCTTGTATACTTTACGTAGGTCTTCCATTCCTTAGATTTGAAGAGTCTCCTCAACTGTGAGCTATATTTCCTTGGAATTCTGCTTCTTCCCCCCACCACCTTTCCTAGAATTCTGCTCCTTGTGAGCCCTGGCTGCTAACACATCCCCATAGGCATCAAAAAACCAGGTGTGTTTACTCTGTTCCTTTTTTGTGATTCTATTTTTGACATCTTTTACCCACTTACATATTCTTCAACAGGCATAAATTACACATAATTACACAGATCAAACCAAATACCAGTCAAGAAAGGCAAATAGCTAATACAAGCAAAATACATGGGCGAATTTTGGAAAATTGATAAAAAGAGGTTTTTTTTAAAATGGAAAATAGTACAAAAAAGGGCAGTTCTCCAATTTTGAAGATATCATGAAAAGTGAGAGTAATGGACCCACTGTTGCATAATTGCTCTCCCACAATTTCATACACCACTATATTTAGGCCAGAAAACAAATAGTTGGATAAGCATCCATTTTAAAGGAAAAAGAAAGGAAAAGGGAGATATAGATCTTGTACACAGAATTTCACAAAGATGTCAATAAGCTAGAGGATAAACTCCAAAGTATATAATTTATCATTTGCAATTGAATTTTGTGCTTCAGGGGGAAACACAAAAGTTAAGCTATGCAGAAAAAAGGTCAATTATGAGATGTCATTAGTTTTAGGAAGGCAGAAGTCTCACATTTCCAACAAAGACAGATCGAGAATCCACTTCTTCCTTGTTTGCCTGGTTTGCAGCAGCAGCAGCAGGGTCTGCCTTCAATTGAGGTGAACAAATAAATAATAAATAAAATGCAATAAATGGAGAAACATAGGTATGAGTAAACTTTAAGCTTTCTTCATAATTAGAAATAAATCAACTAAAAGAATTTAGAAACCATCATTGCACATCCCCATGAAATCCAAACAGAAACACTATCTTTTGAAAATGTAGGTTAAAACTTCAATCTGTAAAGGAAAAGATAGCTACTTAAGTAATTTCAACTTATCAATAGGATCAAAGGTAATACGAACCATGCAATAAGATCAAATTAGCTATCTCGTCGTTGCCGTAAAACAATTCTACAATTATCTACTATAAAAATGAAAATAGCAGCACAAATAAACATTTCAGTAATAAGTCAAATTCCACCACACACAAAAACAGAGGGAGACCTTGAACAGAGCCCATTTCTTTCTCGACCTTGGCTTGCATTTCACGGAGAGCAACCGCTTCATCTTCCATCTCCTTCAACCTCTTCTTCATGTCATCCAATTCCTGCTTACACACATTATTTATATTATTATAAATGCGAATATCATGAATTAGGGTTTCAGAGAAAACAACATATGAACTGAAGAATTAGAGAAAAGCGTAGGAAAAAAAAGAGGAATAGAGAAGAATCACCCCGGCGCTGTTTTCCCCCGCTGCCATCTCAACGTCGTCCTCCATCGCTGCTCCTCTCGCCTCTTTCTCAGCAGCGCCACATACAGCGACTTCTTTCTCTCACCAAAAAATTTATTCCACATATGGAAACTAAACAAAAATACCCAAATAACATGATTTTTTTAAATCATTATTATTTACCAAATTACAATTAATTACTATCCCTAAATTCTTTATTTGTTATAAATATAAAATAAATACTCCCTCCGTCCATTTTATATGTTATCCCTTTCTATAAATAATTGATCCATTATACTTGTCATTTTATAAAATCAATGCATAAATTATCATATTCTTCCTTTTATATCCTTGTGAGTTATTAGCCTTGAAAATATACATTTGACCAACTTAGAAAAGCTAAGTAAATGATTCATGTTCATTGGTTAGATTAATTAATCAAAATAAATTAATTCATATTCATTGATTGAAAACTTGAGTTCCAAAAAAATTAAATAAGGGTAGAAGAGTAAAACTACATTATTTCTTAATGCAAGTGCAAAGTAAAAATGTAACATATAAAATGGGACGGAGGGAGTATATTTACTGTGTCATAGTAAATGTCTACTTTATTTCTTTGGAGAAAGGTTAGAAATTATAAGATCAAGTTGATTTTCGGGAAAATAGTCTGAAAAATACTTCAACTTTGGCCAAAATTGCTGTTACGATATCAAACTTTATAAAGAACCTTTTACCCCTGCACTATTTAATAATGTATTTTAAAGGTATATATGTATCAATGTGGACATGTTACTATTTATAATGATGCAATATTTATGATGTCCACGTGGGCACATATGTACCTTTAAAATACACTATTAAATAGTGCAGGGCGGTAAAATGTCATTTCGAAAGTTCGGTATCGTCACAACAATTTCGGTCAAATTTTAGATATATTTCAGACCTTTTTCCCTTAATTTTCCTAAGAAAAATAAGGAGTTTCCTTTATTGTAAAATCATCCTCCTTCAAGAAAAAAAAAACTCTTCACCCTACTTTCTTCTTTTTATGTTTTATAGTTTCATAAATACATTATCAACACAAGACTTTACCATCTTGAGTTTGATTTTCTATTGCAGATGAAATTTACACGAATACAAAATAAGTATTTTACTTGATAATATTTCAATTATCAAAACTCAATTTAATGATATGTCTTCAATTAATATCTTCTCTATTACTAACTAATAATCTTCAATATAACTTAATCTGATTCATCAATATTATTTTTTTGAATTTACAACTTTTAATTCTTCAAATTTTTTTTGTAGTTACCGACTTATACTCTTAAAATTCTCTTTGAACAAATAATGCTTTTTGTGTCAAACCTTGCATAAAAACCAAACAAACGATCATGCTACTAGACTAAAATGATCCTTCCAGAGCTGGTGAAATCGTCACAATTGGATTTTGAGGTCATTTTCTTGAACTTTTGATCAAAACTAACCGTTCAAGGTTTAAAAAGCTCCAAACACTAAAACTTGCATAAAAACCAAACAAACAACCATGTGACCAAACTGTCAGTCCCAACAAGTCATAAATGAATTGGGGTGACTATAGGAATGCTCTAAACGATGAATAGGAGACATAAATATAGAAATGACCTGGAGGCCATTGCAAAACTATAACTCTTTTCTAAATGAATCTATTTTGTTTTTTAATGAGAATTTCTTTCTCAACTCTTTTCCACCTTCTAGTGTTGACCTAAAATACTTTAATATGGCAAAGCCCACTCGTCACCATTAATCGGGATTTTTGAGCTATGTTAGAGTTTTAGAATTAGAGAATTTTTATTATGAAAGCAACTCCTTTCTTATTTTGGCCTTGTGCATGAATAAGAAATAATCAAGTAGTAATGTATAATATAATCAACTTAAATACTCAATAGTTTAATATGACTTATTTTTTACTTAACTTTGATACCTAACAATTTAATATCACTTGCTTTTTACTTAACAATTTGACATCACTTGTTATTATTTAATAGTGTAATATGATCTGTTAACTCTTCCTAGTCTGCTTATCTTTAACACTTAACCGTTTTTAATACTTAACAGTTTATCTAGTAGACTGCTGACTTAACTTTAATGCTTAACCGTTTAAGTAATGTGAATACTTAACTTTAATATCATTGTCACTGACCATTTTTTGTTTTTTTTCCCAACATGAGTGCTAACTAACTAACTAGCTTTAGACTTTAATACATACCTATTTCACTTAGCTTATCTGTTATGTAGTAGTGTATAATTAACTTAAATACTTAACAGTGTAATATGATTTGTTAACTCTTCCTAGTTTAACTTATCTTAACAATTTATCTAGTAAATTAGTGACTTAACTTTAATGCCTAAAAATTTAAGTGATGTGAATACTTAACTTCAATACCATTGCCATTGCCCATTTTTTCTTCTTTTTCTTAATGTGAGGACCAACTAACTAACTAACTAACTAACTTTATGCTTTAACACTTAATTATTTCACTTAGCTTATCTGTGATGTAGTAGTGTATAATTAACTTAAATATTTAACAATTTAATATGACTTGTTAACTCTTCATAGTTTGGCTTATCTTTAACACTTAATAGTTTATTAATACATAACAGTCTATCTAGTGGTGTATAATTACTTTGTTTAAATCTTTGTAGGTTACTAAAATGGTTAATGTTAACCTATACCTTCATCATGGTGTAAGTTGCTTCACAATCCAGAACCACATTATGATAAAAGATGAATCCATTATCAGAGAGGATATGATTATGATATTATCTCTTTTATTGACTTAGTTAATGAATACACATATAAGTTAGGTTTTGTAAGTTCACAACAACTTATTGTGCTTGGTTCTTCTTGAAAATATTTTGAATTAGTAGGAGATGAAAGAGTTAGGACATTTTATCTTTTGTCTCTGAGGATTATTAATCCATTCATTTGTTTGCTACTGATGGCTATGAATTAGTTGATGATATTGTTATGCATGATGGATCATTTTTTACTTTTACCAATAGCTAATGAAGGTAGACTGTAGTGAAAATGACAATACTAATGAAATGGTTATTAGCTATTTAGAATATGATACTGATGAATTAAAAATTTTGTTACAAAAAAGAAAATAACAATAACTAATGATTTGCAAGATTATAAGAAGATTATTAAGGGTATGACCTTCAAGGACATAGAAGAAGCAAAACAATTTTACAAATTTTATGATATTGCTAAGAAGGTAGAACTAGTTGTGTGAAAGAGTGATAAAAACAAGATTGAGATATAAATGTGGTGCTGAAGAATGTCCATTTCTATGTTTGATTTATGGGGATCAGACCACTTCTGAGGTTAATGTCAAAATATTAGTAGATCATATAGAGTGTGGAACAAAATATGACAACTCTTTAATTGATTATATAACAATAACTTAGTATTTAAAGGAGAAATTGCAAAGTGACCCTAAGTACAAGGTCAAAGATATGAAGGTTGACTTACATAGAGTGTTTGAGTTAAACGTAAGTGAAGCCAAGTGCAATAGAACTAAAAGGAGGATATTAGATTCTTTGGATGGTAGCTTTACAGACTCTTACAATAAATTAGAGGCTTATGCTACTGAATTGAGGAGTTGCAATCCAGGGTCTGATATTGTGATTAACTTATCTAAGAAGGCGCTATCTAAACTTCTTAGGATGTATATCTTTAAGGCAAATTTAAGACCATCTATTTGGTTAGATGTTACATTCTTTAAAGAAAAAGCTAAGGAACAAGTATTGGTTGTTGTTAGTCAAGACAATATGAATTGTTTCTACCCTTTAGCTTGGGTTGTGGTAGACAAAGAGGCTACATGGACTTGGACTTGGTTCATGAAGCAGTTGTAATATTCACTTGATCTTCATAATGGTAAAGAAATGACATTCAGATATGTAGAAGATAATATTAAACACTAATACTACTTAGTTGCAATTCATTAGAAACTACTAATACAATTGAACTGATTCAATTAATTTAAGTATTTTCATTTGATATTCAAGAGCTGCTTGATGCAGTAAGGGTTGTTTTGCCTGAAACACATCAAAGATATTGTGCAAGACATATTAAGGCAAATTGGTGCAAAAGATGAGGTAAATGTGAGCTAATGAAGTTGTAGTGGTGGGTTGTATGGTCCTCATTTTTAGAGGAGTTTGAAGACCAACTTCAAGAGATCAAGGAAGTTGATGAAGAGGCTGGACAAGATATATTGAACATGTATTGTAACACCTCGAAATTTGATAAGTTGAGTTTGGAAAAGAAGTTGCAGGAAAAGTTGTTGGTGCAAGTTTCTACGAGCCTACCTACGGACTGTAGAAAGTTCTACGGGTTGTAGGATGGCAGTCTAGAATCTAGGTTGGATTTTAGGGAAAAATGTCAATTCCCAAATGAAGGTCTAGGTTTAACAAGACGAGTCATAGAAGTGTCTACGAGTCATAGACTAGTGCCCGTAGAAAGATGTTTGACTTGGAAGATTTTTAGTAATTAAGTTCTACGGGTGGGGTCTATGAACCGTAGAAGTTATGACAACTCATAGGAGAGTTTTGCGAAAATTGTTTGGGATTTTAGGTTCCAGTACTTGACTCGACGATCTATAGAAATTCTTATGGACCATAGGTCAAAGCCGTAGAACCTTTTCGACAGTTTTAAGTCAAGGACTTTTGGGTCTTTTCCTATCCTTTATATATCTCTATACTATGTCGCTTTGACCCTGTAACTAAGTCCTATAACTACCTTTACTCTTCAAAAACCATCAATTCCCTCACATTCACTCAAAATCCCGAATTCCCTCCAAGTTTATTGTCACGACCCAAGGGTAACTCCTAGATGTAACATGTCATACAAGACCCTGAGAGGTCTCATATAAGCCACTTAGCTTTCCTAGTCAAGATAATAGAAAATCAATAAAATTTAAAACATTTTCAACAACATCAAAGTTTTATAAAACGAAGCGGAAGTCTCATACAACTTGTCTCAAAACCATCTAATACAAAGAGTCATTGGGACACAACCCATACAATAATCTTCAAAATATAAAATGAAAGAACATAAGGAAATGGTGGTCAAATCTTCGAATGCTGTGAGGACTCACCAATCTTCAAGTCTTGCCTCTACTAAGA